AAAACAAAAGGATGCATTGAAAATCTGGATAAGGAGTAGTTAGACCTCAGCAGGGTCAGCGGCAAGGAGGTGGTCTTGTCCAATGGAAGCAGGAGGCTCAAGTTCATATTCTATAGATGTTGAATCACAAATGCACCGCACTTGGGTATGCCAGGCATATTGTGTAGAGACTGAGGGAAAATCTGCATATTGAGTAACAAGACTCCTCCAGTCCCTTTTCCTTACTTGGCACATGAAAATGCTGGCAACCAGCAACACAGGCAGAAACAGTTTTTCTCAGAGAAGATGATCAGGCCAAAAGAGAAGCTCCACAGGTGCTGCATTTGACCCACATTCTCTGCAAAACGCCCAGGGCCAACAGCAGCCCCTCCAAACGAGGTCCATCTGTTAATGAGCTCTGCCTTTTCACACAAGAGCTTCCCATCAGCTTTTGAGCACTTCAGTCTTACATCTGAATAAACAGCAGGTTGATGAGAAATGCTCTAACATGAAAGATGAGGACTAAAACAAATCAACCAAAAAGAAAAACATAGGTAAGAGACACAATGCGGGATCAGCAGAAGAGTGCCACTCTTTAGGGAGAGAAAAAATGCTGAATATATGATATAAGAACGAGATACTGGAAAAAAAATATTTGGAGAACAAGAAAGAGAGCTTAGAAAAAAAGAGTGGCAGAAACAGAAAATTCATTAGAAGGGTTGGCACAAAAAGTAGAGAAAATTTCACTGAAAGTAGAATAGCATGCCAAAGAAATGGAAAACCTAGGAGAAAACAGTAAACATGTATTAGGGAACTCCTGGAAGTCCAGCATCTACTTAGCAGGAATTCCAGAATGAGAACAGAGAAAATGGAGAAAAAAGGCTTATCAAAGAAATGGGCCAGAGAAATTTTTCAACGAGGGGGCGGATAGCAGATTACAAGGGTCTACTGAGTGCCTAACATCAGAGCATATCATAATGATATTTCAGAAGGTCTGGGTAAGAAGATCCAAAAACTCTGGAAAGAAAATTCCAAGGAATTAGAATGTCATTGGTCTTCTCAACAGCAACTCTGAAAGCTGAAGACAGTACAGCAATGACTTCAAAATTATAAGGGAAAATGATTTCCAACTTAGAGTTCTACGTCCACCAAACTATTAATCAACTGTGAAGATAAATTAAAAACATTTCCAACATACAAGAATGAGTTATATTATCTCCAGAAAATACTGAGGATATACTCCACAAAAATGAGGGGGAGACACAAGAAAGAGGAATATATGGGATTCTGGAAACAAGGAGTCTGCACAGGAGATGATTCCCAAGACATTATTCCCAAAGTATAATCCCAGGAGTGCCACAAAGCAATAGGCCTTCAAATCAATCCAGATTAAAGCAGGGGATGAGGGGGAGAGGGTCCAGATGAGATGTGTCTGCCACAAAAAAGAAAAAGAAAGATAAGTAGAACTAATGGCTTACCTAATGTATTTCACTGCAATAAGAGGAGGAAATTTGGGGTTTAAATTTGTAACTAGTATATAAACAAATAAACCAATGATTTAAAAAGACAAGTTTTAACTACAGGAAAAAAGAAATAGCTGTGCAACAAGAAAAAAGTCATAACAAAACAAAGAAAATGAAATAATAGTACACCACATGGCCTAGCTGTGAATAATATTTGCATAATCATAATCCTATAAACATTGAAAGAAAAATCATGACATAAATCTAGTGGGAGTTTAGGGATATGAAAAGTATATGTGTAATTAGTGTTAAGAGAGCTAAATCCCCTTCCTCTACAATGGGATGTCTAAAAATGAAAAAAACAAGAAATGGAAGAGTAAATATAAACATTAAAATAAATGTGAAAATTTATATTAGCAGAAACAGTTAAAAGAGTTCAACATGATGGATAGGGTTTTGGGAGTGGGGAAGATGGGGAGGGGATGGCTGTTTTTTATCATAATCCTTACAGAACTAAAGTATTTAACATTTTTTTTGAGTCAGTGTTTCAATCTGTCGTCCAGGCTGGAGTGCAGTGGCACGCTTACACTACTGCAGCCTCGACCAGGACTCAAGCAATCCTTCTGCCTCAGTCTTCTGAGTAGCTGTAACTACAGGTGTCTACCATCACGCCCTGCCAAGTTGCCCAGGCTGGTATCGAACCCCTGGGCTTGGGCGATCCTCTTGCCTCTGCCTCCCAGAGTGCTTGAGATTACAGGCATGAGCCACTGTGTCTAGCTTAGTATTTAACTTTTTATACTCTGCATATGTATTTTTATTTCAGAGGATGAATTGCATATGCTCCAGAAATATTTGCACTGAAGTTGAAATAGCTACTTCCTAGTGTACTATTAATTATTTCAACACCTCCAAACAGGTTATTTCACGTCAAAGATATCCATTCATATTAATACACCGCCTGGAAAACATTAAGTAAGACAATGTTTAGAATAAGTTTCACACTGACACATTAAAAGTAATCTTTGTTTTGTTAGTATCATCATATTTCTTTTTATTGTTAAGGGCAAGTGGGTCACTAAAAATTGTTTATTTTAGTCTAACTCAGAGGTGCTCAACTGGAGAAGAATTTGTCTCCGAGGGAACATTTGACAATGCCACAATGGGAGTGGAGAGGTGTTCCTGGTACCTATAGGAAGAAGCCAAGGATGCTGCTAAACAACCTACAAAGGGCAGGTCAACAAAGAATTATCTAGCTCCAAATGTCAATAGTGCTGAAGTTGAGAAACCAAGCTTCAAGTCCTTGAGGATTATTTCATCAGAACACCATACATAAAGACTGATAATATGCAAACATCAAGCAATTTAAGACTGAGTCAGCTAAATATCTTGCTGTAATGTTGGAAGCAGTCTGTCTGTGAAATATATCTTTGGGAATATTGAGAATGGTAGAGAGAAAAAGTATAATAAGCAATAACACTAATAAAACACAGAGCTTTGTACCTCAATAATCTCTTTCATCCATAGTTCCCAGGGCTCTTTACAGACTAATAATAACTACTCTGCTACTCACATACTACCTTTTATCTCAGGACAGCAGGCACTCTCACAACACTCTCACAATGTAGGAAGTATTATTATTCCCATTTCACATGTAAGTAAACAGAGGTACAAACGTTAAGCAACCTGGCCAAAGCCACACAAATCAATAGTAGCCAAAATTCCTGACTCAGAGTTTATTAATAATGAGAGAACTGGTCTAAGAGATGCAGTGATAAACTTATGTGGCATAAGTGTTATCCTAACTTATTTAAAGTTTATCATTTTCAGGTTAATATTATAATTCAGTATTTCATCTTTTTTATTTCTTCTCCCTCTACACACTTCTTAGAGATCCAGGACCCTAAGTGCTTGATATCCTATTGCTAGAGGGAACTATACTGACAGTGCCTTTCTTGAACCAAGGATACTTTACATGCAGTGTCAATTGTTTACACAGCTTAAAAATATATGCTGTTACTGATGATTTTAAAGAAAGCTGAGTGTAGGAGAATTTAAATAACATGCCCAAGATCTCTCACTATTTAACATGTTTATATCCAGGTTGATTACATCCTCTTTCCACTGTATCCTGCATCTCTTCCAAGTGCAAATTACAAAGTGTATCAGTGTAAAAAATTTTAAACCCTGCCTTCCCTCATCCTCCTTAAAACGCAGAAAACACAATAAAGAATCTACAATTGAACCATTTCAGGCGATGCACTTGGGTTGGTACCATCCAGCTACCCAGGACTAGCAACTATGTGACTTTCCCTCTGAGAAATACAGAGCAGATGAATCACTCTCTCCTGTTCCCACTCCTGTGGCGGGCACACAGTGACTGCCCACCCACCATGTTCTACCTGGACAAAACAGGATTATTAAATAAGACTTATGTTAGGTAAGAGTATGACTCAGACTTATGTTAGGTAAGAGTATGGCTACTATTGATTTGTACCTTTTACAAAATGGAGACCTGGCATTTGTAGCCTACAACGATGTGTCCTGACATTACTTGCATACAGAAAGGTCACTTCCCCTAGCCCTGGTCCAGAAATCTCAGATGAAATGCAGCCTACAACGATGTGTCCTGACACTACTTGGATACAGAAAGGTCAGTTCCCCGCCCCTGATCCAGAAATCTTAGATGAATTGTATCTGAGGATAAGATTCAGTGACTCTATGGCATACTAAGCAAGAAAAAATAGAGATAAAGATAGAAAAAATAGAGATAGTCTCTGCCCCAACTCCTGTCAATACAGCTTCAGTACTTTGGAAGGGAACTTTGCTGCGACATTCACCATCTGCAAGGAGGTCAGACTGGGATCGCCAAGACTGTACACCAAATTGTCCCAATGAGTTTTCCCCTCTGCAAGCCTAAGAGTAAACTCTTGATACTTCACAGGCAATTTCAGCCCTTCCTTTTGGCCAACCCGTTTCGCCAGGCCACCGAAGAGTTGGTGCTGGGTTCCCTTCGGTTCTTTCTATTCTCCTACTAGCCACCCCACACATCCGAAAAGGGGCAGCGACGAATACAAGCGACACGTGGGCGCTGTCCCGTCCTGGCTGGTCAGGCCCTGATCACCACGCGTTATCGCACTTTCCCCTTCGGCCAGCGGCATTCGAGACTTTTCCTGGCCTAATACAGCCTTGTACTTAAAAGGAAGAGCGGTGGGAGAGGAGAGGGGCGGAGAAGCAGAGCGGGGAGCAGGGCGGGGCGCGCTCCCGCCCGGGAGTCGGAGGC